ATTATTTGTATATATATATATATATATATATATATATATATATATACTAGCCAAAATTTCTTTACGTAACTAGCAAAAATATAGAAATGAACCCCATTTACTACCATATTTCTAGCATATTTCTTTTTAGATATGTAACAGCTCTGATAGCTAATTTGGAAAAAAAATCAGTCTGCACAAGGGTTATAAGTTGTTATTATAAATGTTAGAAATAGAAAATTTCTGTATTTTGAAAATTACAGTAAATTTTCGTTAGTAAAGGATTCCTTAGTTTCAATTTGGGTAAATTAAATTTGTTTCAATCGAAAAAAAACTAAAGTGATTTATATTCTTAAAAAAGAAGTAAAAATCAGGCAAAAATAAGTAATTCATTATTGAATAACAGGCAAGCTTAATTAACCAACAATAGTATATTTAGTGTTCGCATAAAAAGTTTTTATATTTTTTTTTCCTCTATCTTTATAACGAATTGTTGCAGAATAATTGAAAATTCACATTTGCATTTAAAAGTATACGAAATAAGGATTACAAAAATTCAATACAACAAAAGAAATGTTTTATATACACTAAATTGAATTAATTTAAACATGGGATTATTAAATTGTGTATTATACCTTACTGATCTAATTCATATGTGAACGCTTAAAAGTGATTTTAATAAAGATGCATTTTAATGTAAAATTATTTAGTTTTTTGTAATAGTATTTTAAATTAAATCTATAAATAAATTATATATTTTATAAATATGAGCTGAAATGTCACATAAAAAATTCCTTTAAACATGAAATTATTTTGGAATAGTTTGCTTTTAATTTAATTTTCATTGTGTGAACAAATATTCAAATGAAATTTGATGAAATTTGAAATCCCAATAGCATTTAAATATTACTTAAATTAATAAAATCTTTTTAAACATAAATTATTTTTCAAACGCCTTTGTGATGACCGTCCTTCTCAAAGACGGTTCCTTTTTTCTTATAAAACAGATAAAGAATGATGCAAGGATTTATTTTGAAAAAAATACAAGACAGAAAAATCAAAATGGTAATAATAATAATACAAAAAAGTTTGTTTCTGAAATCAAAGCTCTGTGCTCCTTTGAAAATTTTCTTTTTCAATGCCTATCTGAGGAATGATCCTTACTCAATACAGGCATCTTAAGGGCAGATTTATTGGCTGCTCTTTTAAGGACTCCATGTCAAGGGAACCACCGTTGCTCCCACAATAAGGACAGATAGTACAGAGAATGAAAGAACATTCATGCCTTGCCCGGGATTCAAGCCCAGAACCATTCTGTTGCAAGGCCAGTTCCCTGACCGCCACTCAGTCGGGTATCCTTTGAAGGTAAAGTGGCAGAAACCGAAGGAAAAATATTCTTGGTAGAAGCAAATACTTATTACCACTTTTTCAATTAGGTTATTTTCATACGTAAACTATTTTTTTGGCAGAGTCAGGCCAAAACCTCCTATAACTGAAAGCCTCCACATGGTTTCTGATAAGTAGTCCGATCACACCACTATGAAGGTAAACCAGTTTACGAAAAAGTCATGTAATAAAAAATATAGTAAAAAGAAGAAAGTGGTAGCAAATATAAGTCTAAAAATTTGTATAATTTCTGAATAAGAGCAGAAATTTGGCAGTCCTGCTAGGCATCAACGCTTTAAGATTTGATGCAATTTGAAAGTACTTTTTTTTCTTGTATCAAAACGTAATACTCAAAACGTATAAAAAATACTAGAAAAACTATTCTATTACTAACATTAATTTAAGAAATTAAAGACAATTCTCACGCACTAGAATGCGTTACTAAATAATTGTATTATTTATAAAATGAACTTCATTTTCAAATGATGAAATATATCGTTCGCAATATATTTTGCTCTAAATTATCTAGCGCACAAAAACTGAAGATTTTTCTGTGTTTCAGTCTGAATCGCACAAATTGAAAAAGTAAAGTTTCTTTCTTTTTTTTTAAGATTTTTAATTCTTGCAGAAACATTTACTAGAATCACCTTAAAGAATAAAAGGGGTTTTTCCAAGAATATATTTTGTTGTTTGTATTAAAAGTGAGATTTTTTTTGTACTATGTATGCTAATATGCTCAGTATCGTCTATTTTCAAATCCGAGGAATTTCCTCACATTTATGCATGCACCAGATTTGCTTCGATTTCATTATTATAGGGGTGAGATGATAGAAAAGATGGCCTGTTATTTGTTCTGCTGTGCACCCCGTATTATTAAAGCTTCAAGACGTGCACACGTCAGCGTTTCACCGCTTCACAAAGTAAAATCGATCCGAAAGGGTAGATATTGCTTTCAAAAACTAACAGTATGTATATACATACAATTGATAATAACGTAGCTTTTGATCGAGGTTTTACTTCAAATTTATTATAAGTTTAAAGTAAAATCTCGATTAATCGTTGCTCAAAGATCCATTACTTACGAACCATA